CCTGCGAGGTGGCCCCCGCCGAGAGAGCCCCTCCCGCCCAGGTGCGGACGAAGGGAGCTGGCCGGAGGCGGTGCCGGACGCCTTCCCGCACTCACCGCTCCCCTCAGGCCACCACAGCCGGAGCCGCCGTGTCTCCTGCTGCCCTGTCAGGAAGGTCCCCACCCCGGAGGGCTGCCCGGCCGCCGCCGCCGCTCTGCAACCTCCACCTTCACTGCCCGCCGGCCCAGGATCCCAGCTCAGGCACCGCCGGGGACAGACCTCGCGCGTCGGGGTACTCGCCCGTGAAGCCCCGCGCAGGCGTACTACCCAAAGAAGCCGGCCAGCGAGGAAGGGGCGGGGTTTCTGCGGGCGCCGCCCAACCGGGGCTGGGCTCGCTTCCGGCGTGCTAGGCGGAGCGCTCGCTACTTCCGGGCAGTGGAAGGCGGCCCTCTCCGTCGCTGGTTGGCGACTTCCGGGTTCCTCCGAGCTTGCTTCCGCGAGGCCTTCGCTTCGTTTCCTCCTCGCCGGCCGACCGACCGAGCGACCGACCGGCGAGGGCCCTTCTTGCGGCCCTGCCAGGTGAAAGGGCGGAGGCGGAGGCTTGCCTTCCGGGCGAGAGGGCGGCGCGGGGGTCTCGGCCCAGGGCCCTTCCGGCGGGAAAGTGGCCTTCCGAGACCCCCGGTGGGCAGAGGGGGGGGGGCGGGGGGGTCGGGTACACTGTCGGGGGGGGGGGGGAAAGAGCGAGGGAGAGAGGGTGGGGTGGGACTCCCCTCCCTAAGTCACGTGGTAGGAAGGGGGAGACTCTCTCTCTCTTCCCCCCCCCCGGCCGGAGGATCCGCGGAGGTGCTTTCAGGCCTCGCTAGACCCTGGAGTAAAAAGCTGGAGCGGAGTATCCGCCACTTCCTTTTCCAGAGTGGATTTTCTTTCAAGGCTGCAAAGCACAGGAGGCGGGAGGGGGGGCTCTTCTTAACAATAGGCGCGACTGTATCCTAGTTCCTTCCCAGAAAAATCCCAATCCAGCCAAAAAATTTAAATAAACTGCAACCTTGCACCTTTACGTATTCTACCTCATTCCTGTAATTTTTGCTCAGTGAATATAGTTTTGTTGCTGGTTTCCAGTAGATCACGAGAAGATCCCTCTTTTGCAGTTGCGTTATGCGCCATTAACGCCTCCACCCTTGTCTTTAGGTTTGCCTCCCCCAGCCTCACGCCTGAGGACGCTTTCGCGGCAACTCCCGTCCTGCTAGCCAACCCACTGGAGGATCTCGGGCCGGAAACAGCTGCCTTGGTGTGTTTGCCTATCTCCAACTGAGGCCAAATTGCTGGGAGCTCTCGAAGAAGCTCACTTTTGTGTGCCGTTTGCCTTGAAAGCTTCTTTGTGCAGGGGCTGGTCCGCCCCTTCTTAGGGTTCTTTCCTTCTTGCCTTCTGCCCCATACAGAGACCATGCCCAGAAGAAAGAGTGTGAGGTCCCTGCAGAAGCTGTGCCTGGAGAATGTGGCTGAAAACATGCAGCGCCTCTGGGCCAAAGATTACACGGAGAACTACCTGGACCAGTACCAGTTCTGCTACATTGAGGGGCCCTTCAATGAGCTGGGTGAGAAAAACACGGCCAGAGGGAAAGCGGGTTGGCAGCAAAGTATGTCTGTGTCAAATCACAGTGGGTGCGCCTTGCAGCCAGTGTTCCTTCTCATTCCCTGGAGCGCTGCGCAGCTCACCCCCCATGGGGTGGGATTCTGATCACCACTGGAAGCCAGTTGGCCAGAACAATGGATGGGCTGCGCGAGACAGATGAAGTGCTATGCGCCCACGTGCTTTAGAGGGAACATTGTCTACAGCGGCCTCCCTGCTGTGATCCTGATGCTGGAAACATCTGGGGTTAGAGGGGAAGAAGTGGGGCAGGGAGGCTGTTCTCCAAACCTCTTCCACAGCTGAATAGACAAGCGTGCTTCTTGGCATCGTCTCTCTCCCCAGCACCATTTCTCCATCTTTTCCATCAGGGAAAGACTCGCACAGAGAGGGACGCAACCATTTTATTCACCTTCTCCTCTTCCTTCTTCTCTTTCTTTTGTTCCAATAAAGAAATGGTTATATGGTAGTCAGAACCATAGAATCGTGGAATTGGAAGGGGCCTATAAAGCCATCAAGATGAACTCCCTACACAGCATCATACAGGGCTCTCTAGTAGGTCAAGTGTTTGTCCAGAACTTCTCCAGTCTCTTCCGTAGGCCTGCAAGGGATGACAGCTGTTCCAGTCCAGGGTCATAGCGCGAGTCTTGCAAGAGAAGACGGGTGCCTCAAAGTCACTGGAGGGATATAAACACAGAATACAGGAACGGCGTCGTGGTGCTTTCTCTGCCTTCTGTGCTTTCTCTGCCTTCACCTGCCATTGGCTCCCAGCCCTCTGAGCAGGGCACCCTCTTTCTCATGCTGAGCTTTCAGCTAATGCTGGGTATTTTTTTCTCCTGCCTGTCCAGCTGGCTCCCTGGTGCACGAACTGCTCTGTTTAAAAGGAAAGCGCCTGACCCGTGCCATGCTCCACTTGCTCCTGGTGCCCCAGCTGACCAAGCTGAGCTTGAGCAACTGCCCAAAGCTGGTCAACAACACCATCACCCAGATGATCGGCCTGCGCTGCAAGGTGAGGGAGAGGGGTCCGAGAAGAGCACTCCTGTGAGTCCAGCTGCCCCTCCCTCCTGTCATCTCCTGGCCCACCTGAGGCTGCTGTTCTTTCTGGCTCCTCCTGGCAGGGTGACCACAACCTGTTGCTGACTCTTGCCCATGGCTTGGCTTAGAGAGAGCCCAGTGGGGTCTGTTGGAAAGCCCCTTGCTCTCACCTCCCTCGTCCTCTGATGGGCTGGGAACCCTGGAGGGATCCTTTGGGCAAAAGGCTCTGGGTCAGACAAGATCCCGTCTCCCTCTTTCACCTTCTTGGTTCTGTCCCATCTGTAGATATGAAGAGAGAAAGTGAGATACTGCGGCTTCCTCTTTTTTTCACATTGATTGCTGTAATTCACATTCTTGTTTGTTGGTGTTGTGTGTGTGTATGTGAGTCAGCATATGATGTGGCACAGGAGAGTTGGACTGGATAAAGTCATTTTTTTGTCTCTCAAAGGGACACTTTGCTGCAGGGGAACCACCTTAGTCTCTTCTGGTAAATCTAAAAACCTCCACATTTGGATGGCTAAGAATGCAAAATATGTGTGAGCCTTTTAAGGCAGCTCACAAGCCTCTCTTGTCTGAAAGGAGACAGCTGTTTTTGGAGAAGGTGGTACCCCTTCTCACGTCTGGCCTCGGTCCCACGGTGCATGTAGCCTGATGCATTGCAGGCAGGGAGGAGCAGAGAGCCAGGGAAACAAGCCTATGGCCACAGGCAGAGGATCCTACACTGCCATGCAGTGCAAAGATATATCTAAGAGGGGCAGCATTGTTTTTTTTAAACTCGGGGGGGGGGTTGCAGATATTGCTCTGCCTAGCCAGATACCTGCTGTGGGAGAAACAAGGTGTATGAAAATCCATTTGCATAGCACCTGTGGTGAATCTTGTGTCTGCTCTCTGTTTCGCGGGTCAGAATTTGTCCTCGCTGGATCTTATGGGCTGCAGCCGGATCCCCATCAATGCTCTGGTCAACCTCATGGAAGGCTTGCCCCATCTCACCAAGCTGGACCTTGCCGAGACCCAGTGCAACACCCAGGTGTTGTCGGCCGTGGGCTCCTGCTGCCAGCGGCTCCGGGAGCTGGACATCTCGTCTTGTAAGAGGATTTCTGCAGAATCCCTCTTCCACCTGGCCTTTGACCCCACAGCCGGTGCTTTCTGCTGCCCGGAATTGCAGATCCTCTCAGTGGATGGGCTGGAGAGCAAGCCCTACAGCGACGACCTGCCCTGGGCTTTGGCTTTCCTGCTGCTGGCACTGCCCAGCCTGGCCTTCCTGGAGAACGAGTTTGTGGCCGAGGCGGTGTGCCTCCTCCACGACGAGGACTTTGAGGGGGCCCAGATCCCAGCTGGCTTTCCCTCCATGGAGGAGCTGGTCCAGCGCAAGAGGTCTGCCGGCAAGGCTGAGCCGGGCTCCAAGCTCACGCTGCCCCTCAGGGAGATCCTGGAGGTGAACGAACCCTTCCTGCCAGAGGTCCGTGCGGTGTGCCCCCAGCTGGCCAAGGTGACGGTGCTCCTGGAGGACAGCCCTGGCCTCAGCCCGAGCTTCCTGCCCTGGGGCCAGCTGGCGAACCTGACCCTGGAGTGCATGGAACTCAAGGAGCTGGGGGAGCTCTTGCCCGTGACGGCCCGCCTGGGGGCCCAGCTTCAGGCCCTCTCGGTGGAGGGCTTCTCCCTTGGCGATGGCCCATGCTTCTCTGTCCTGTTGAGCCACTGCCCAAATATCCAGAAATTCAGTGCTTCCCTCTTCTACGCCACGAAGCCCGGCCGCCGCCGAGGAGCCACTGGCCCAGACGCCAGCCTGGCGCCCCCCGGGTTCCCTCAGCTCCGTGACTTCACCCTGTCCTTCTCTGACTTGCATGATGATGTGCCACCCCCCCAGGTGCCCGTCCTGCAAGCGAGCCTCACGTCCCTGCTCTTGCGCTCCCCCTGCCTGGAAAGCGTGCTCCTGATTGGCCTGCCCTTCTCCCTGGATGGGGTCTTTGAGTCGGTGCTGGAGGGCACGTCCTTGCCTGGGCTCCGCTACCTGTCCTTGATTGAATGCAAGATCTCCAGTCCCACCATCCACCGTCTCCTGTCTTTGGACAATCCACTCAGCGACCTGGACTTGGACAGGTGCCCCGACATTCACCGGAAGGACTACGCAGAGCTCCTCCGGAGAGTCAGCAGGGAGCACCTCGAACTGCAGGTCAAGTGGAAGTGAGAAGCAGGCCCGTGGCCTGGCCAGACGGCAGCTCTGCTTGGGCGAGAGCCAGCCGGGAGCAGAGGTTAATAAAGTTTGCATTCTGTAACAGAGGCTTCCTCCCCTGAGTGCGGGACATGTGGGCTGCTGGCTGCCCTCGAGGGCCTTCCCTGGTGCCACTGAAGGGCGTGAGTACCTGTCTGGCCGCAGAAGGGCTTTGCTCCTCCTCTCCCAAAGAGCCAGCCGCCGGCTCCCTCCCAGGGAGTAGGTTTCCTGTTCCCTGGAGTGGCCAATCTCTGCACCTCCTGCAAGCAGGAGGCAAACAACACAGCACCCTCCTGCTCCCTTTTCATACCCGCTGGGAGGCAGCGGGAAGGCAGTCGACATCGGGAGGCCCATTTGCAGCCCATGGGCTCATCCTTCCTGCTGGGCTGCTGCTTCCCGTTATGGCTTTGGGGCAGGGGTGGAGCCAGGGGAAACAAGCAGAGTAGAGGCAAAAGTGGGTGTTAGGACACAGGGAGGGAGGGAGGCAAACTGTCATTCATACCTACAGCACGAGAGGAGCACAGATGGGGCATGAACCTTCCACCTCTAGGCAGGAGAGAGATGAGGGAGCTGGAGGTGGGGCCTGGGGCGGGCGCAAGTTGTAGTGTAACCTGCCTAGAGGAAAGGTTGGGGGAAAGGTGGTCAGTGGGTGGATTTGCTTGCATTCCAAGGTGAGAAAGGAGGAGAAACCACGTAGCAGGACAGGCTTGCCGGGGGTATGTGTGTGTTTTAACCCCTGTAAAGCTCCGTGCCATTGAGGGAAGCCTGACTGTAGAGGGAGAAATGGAAGTCATAAATCAGATGCACCTGTCATAGACTCACAGAATACCTGAGTTGGAAGGGTCCCCTAAAGCAGTGGTCCCCAACCTTGGGCCTCCAGATGTTCTTGGACTTCAACTCCCAGAAATCCTGGCCAGCAGAGGTGGTGGTGAAGACTTCTGGGAGTTGTAGTCCAAGAACATCTGGAGGCCCAAGGTTGGGGACCACTGCCCTAAAGCCATCGGGCCCAACCCGCTGCTCAAGGCAGGAACCCAAATCAAGGGAGATCTGACAGACGGTGGTCCAGTTTCCTCTTGAATGCCTCCAGTGTTGGGCGCTCACCACCTCTTGAGGCAATCGGTTCCATTGTTGGACTGCTCTTAACAGTTAAGACTTTTCCTGATATTCAGCCTAAACCTGGCTTTTTAGTTTCAGCCCATTGTTGCGTGTTCTGCACTCGGGGGTGATTTGAGTAAAGATTCTGCTCCTCCTCTGGGCAGACCTTTCATGTCTTTGAAGAGTGCTATCCTGTCTGCCCTCAGTCTTCTTTTCTCAAAGCTAAACCTGGCCAGTTCTTGCAGGTTTTCCTCCTAGGGCTTGAGTTCCAATTCTGTCAGAACACAGAGTGAATTCTAATTCCTGTCCTCTGAAGATGCCGGCCACAGACACGGGCAAAACATTTAGGAAGAAAAATCTCCAGAACACGGCCAAAAAATCCACAGCAACGATCAAACCCTGCCCGTGAAAGCCTTCAAGAACACATTGCTTCAGTTTGTTGGCATCCTTCCTAAAGAGTGGCGTCCAAAAATGGAAACAATACTCTAGATGAGGTCTAACAAGTGCTAAATAGCGAGGGACTAGCACCTCAGGGGACTTGGAGACAATACAGGGTTAGGGTTAGGTTAATGCAGCCTAAGTAGCATTGACCTTTCTTGCAGCTGCATTGCGCTGTTGGCTCATATTCAGCTTTTGATCTAAAACAAGTCCAAGATCCTTCAATGTTATTGAGCCGGGTATCTCCCATCTTCTAACCGTGTACAGTAGTGCCTCGACTTACAAAACTAATCCGGTGTTATTGAGCCGAGTATATCTCCTAACCGTGTACAGTAGTGCCTCGACTTACAAAACTAATCCGTATTAGAACAGTGGCCGTAACTCGAATATTTCGTAAGTTGAAGCACCATTTCCCATAGGAATGCATTGAAAACTGATTAATCTGTTCCGGCCAAAGGAAAAAAATCACAAAAAACACACTGCAAGCCACTGGAGCTGCAAAAAACCCCAAAACAAATACAAAAATTTGCTGCGGAGGCTTCCCGGGCTTCCAAAGCACCAGTGCCCCGTGTGGCGGTCAGTGCAGCTTCCTGGGCTTCCAAACCGCCCCCACTGCCCTCCCATCCCTGCTGCCCCCTGCAGGAAGCTGCTTGGTTTGGTGCAGGTCGCGGCTTGTTGGGGCCACGAGTACTGCAGCTGAGCGGTGCGCTGGGAAAACAGGTTTCCTTCCTTCGGCCCTACACCTCCCATTTAGCAATTGCACCTCCCAAATGTGGCTTTCTGCTTGTGCCTGGGTGGAAGAACGCTCTGGGTATTTTGGGGCATCTTGATCCTGGTTTCCCCAGGATTCCCTACACGGCCCACACAGCAGATGGCTGCCTTCAGCCTCACTTTGCTCTCAGTGGGGCAGCCACGGTGGAGAATTGGGACACACACACCCCAAAAAATGCCCTGTGTGCAAACTGTGTACAGGACAAAGAAGGCTGGTGGCAGCAGGTGGCACCAAAGCCCGCCAGGCCGTGCCCTCACCAATGTGGCACAGTATCCTAGACCTGTGTAGAGGACCCCCGGAGGTCATCTCATCCCGCCATCTGCTGAAACGGGAATCTGCAGCTAAAGGATCCCTGGCAGGTAGCCAAGCAACCTGTGTTTAGAAAACTCCAGAGAAAGAGAGATCACCACCAATAGAACTTGTACAGACAAAAGGTTCTTCCTGCATAGGGTTTTCTATGCAGCAGCAGGCAAGGCGTGTGTGTGTGTGAGAGAGAGAGAGAGAGGTGCAGCAGGCAAGGCGTGTGTGTGTGTGTGTGAGAGAGAGAGAGAGGCAGAGTGGCAGTGGCCTACCGTCATGCTGTCTCTTGGATCGGGTGCTGCATCCCCCAGGTTCAAATGTGGATCTTGTTGGTCTACCGCCCATTGAGCGGCTCAACTGTCTCCCTTCATGAGACTCCTTAGCTGAGCTGGTCACAGGTCTGCGGTTGGAGTCGTCTCGGCTTGCTGTGCAGGGGGGGGGCATCCACATCTGTGCCGAGGCAGCTTTGCCAGGAGTGCCTCAGGGCTTCATCTCCTCCATGATGGCCGCATAGGCTCTGTTCCAAATATTTATTTATTTATTTATTTATTTGATTTTTACCCCGCCCCTCTAGACCATGTCTACTCGGTATCTCCCCCACCCCCACCTTGGCACACCTTGGATCTCATTTTCTGTAATGGGGTAGAGGGTGGTGGTCTGGACATGGAGGAATTATTGCAGTTCCATTGTCATGGATGAATCATCATCTGGTGGGATGAAGGCTTACCAGAACTGAGAGCCTTTGCAGGAGTGGGGGACACAGGTGTGCAGTCAGGGGGGAGGGGGTTCCTGGATTCATCTCTGAGCCTCCATGGCCAGGCTTTGGAGGTGGCCAGACATGATTTTGCAAAAGCAAAACGAGTGTGCCCCATGGCCTGTTCCTGGACAGGTGCGGTTTGGCCACGGTGGCACATGCCTTAGTCATATCCGGGCTGGATTACAAGGTAAGCTTTCCCTAAATTGCCAGAAGCCAGTGGCAATGGTGCGGCTAAAAAATATTATAAATAAATAAATAACTGGCTGTCTGAATGAGGTTTTTAAATGGATTGTTGTACCTTACTGCTTTGAATGCATTTTGGTACTGCTTATGTTTGGGACTGCGGGCTAAACCGCAGAAGCCTGTGCTGCAGGGTCAGAAGACCAGCAGTCGTAAGATCGAATCCACGCGACGGAGTGAGTGCCTGTCGCTTGTCCCAGCTCCCGCCAACCTAGCGGTTCGAAAGCATGCAAATGCAAGTAGATAAATAGGGACCACCTCGGTGGGAAGGTAACAGCGTTCCGTGTCTAAGTCGCACTGGCCATGTGACCACGGAAGATTGTCTTCGGACAAAAAACGCTGGCTCTATGGCTTGGAAACGGGGATGAGCACCACCTCCTAGAGTCGAACACGACTGGACAAAAATTGTCAAGGGGAACCTTTACCTTTTTATGTTTGTTTAGTAAAGTATTTGTTCCTTTTTAGCATTTGTAGACTCACTGTTTCAATACTGTTTTTTAATGTTGTAAGCTGCCTTGGGAAGGAAGGCAGGATAAAAATTTTTTTAAATAATCAATAAATGATTAGGTGAAATTGCCTTTCTCCTGATTTGAGTCGTTTACTGCAGCTACTACCCATGGAACTGGAGAAAACAGGCTCGTTCCATCTTCCACTTGACATACCTTATGAAGATGGCAAGCCTGTTGCCTCTCATGGGAGAATGGTGGGGTTTAATTCGATCCCTTCCAGTTCACAGGGAAATTACTCCTGCAGTCCCTGGAGTTGTGATCTAGTCAACTACATGTTAGCCTTAGATTGCTCCGTTTCAGTCCTTTTGGTCCCCTTCTTGTTCTCTGACTCCTGCCTTCTCTTTTGCAATAGCTGTCAGCCAGCTGGGAAAGACCCTGCTTCTCTTTGTGGGTGGACATTAATGCTGGATTTTTATGCACACAAAGAGTGGGGGCACAGAGTGCCATGTTTCAGCCCCATGCTTCTGCTTTTTTCCTTGTTTGGTAAGTGGCACAGTGCTGCATTGTTTCATCGCTGAAGAACTTTCTCTTTCTTTAAATTATGTACAGTATATGTCACCTTTCTCCCCCTAGGGTTGGCTCTCCAATTCCAAAATTCATTTCTGTCTTTCAAAATAAAATTGCTGCCTACTGTACTCTTGTGCTATGTAATCTGCATGGACAGATGCTGAGCAACATCAGTTTTGCACAAGTGGCAGGCAATAAGCATGTGTAAAAGTCAAGCTGCACAACTAGGATATAACCTTCAGTCCTAACTTTATAGCACTTAAGTGATGCAGTGCAATAGTGGGGAAGTGTTTTTTTTAAAAAAATAAAAATAGAAACACCTTTTTTCAAAATAGGACGGAAGGTGCCATCTGCACTAACATCCACCTCTCCACGTCCCCACTGCCATGCAAGAAGGGGACCCCCTCAACCCCAGACGGGAGCAATCAAGGCCATCCCACGGCACGAATCTCTATTGTTCCAAATAAACAGAAGCCTCCGTCCCTAGATTGGTCTACGAGCGATGGGTCCCCACCAGGGACGAGCATAACAAGAATGTCATGTAGCCCACGTTTTATAAAGCGATCCCACTGTTCCAGCCGGTGGCTCCAGAGCAGGCTAAACTCCCACATAGCCAGCCTCATCGTTTCCTCCGGGCTCAACCGTTCCTCTTTGCGCTGAGCTTGCGGACCCTTGACCAGCTTGGGCCTCCTCCGATTTTCCATGGCTACTTAAACTGGATGCAGCGTCCCTGGTGATGTCTGACCAGAGCATCCTCATTCCCATTTCAGAATCTTTGTAGCCAGATGGGGTGCACGGCTGGGCAAACTCACGTGTCGCCCCTGTACTCCCGAGGGTGACACAGTGTGAGTGGCAGGAGCGTATGGAACGTTCCCCGCGAGAGTCCTGGAGAACAAGAAGGAGCTAGCTTTTATTTCCTTCTGGTGGGAGAGCGACCGGGGAGAGTGGAGGGGGAGGCAGGCTGGGTTACTCCCTTTGGCGGCTTGCCAGGCCTATGGCTGCCTCGGCAGCATCCCAGAGTTTGCGGCCCACGGCCGGGTCTTCCGCCAGGGCCAGCGGCAGGGTCAGGCTGCAGTCGCTGTCAAAGTACTTTCCCGAAACGCCTTCCACCTCCCTGGAGACGGCGCAGTACAAGGCACTGGTGGCTCCTTCCTTTGGAGTCTGGGGAGAGCGGAAGGGAGAGGGGTCATGGGGGGGGGAATTTCGCCAGAGCATTCCTTCCTTCCTGGCACAGGAGGACTGGGGAGCGGCTGGGGGGGGCGACGGACCAGGGCTCCCGGAAGAAGCCCCGTTGGTCGAGGTCACATGAAAGCCCCAGGCCAAGGAGAGAACGCCTCACAGCCTTGGTGGGTTTGGTCCTCAAGCATGGCCTCTACACCCTCAGCCGTAGGAATTTGGGACACTAAAAACTGCCTATTAGTTTGGAACTGCCCACGAAAACCCGGTGCATGACCCCGAAGAAGAGGATTGGTCACTGACAGCTCGCTGTTTTTGGTTTGTATTCTTAATGCGCAACTGATTAAAGGCATCACCTGCTCCTGCATTTCTAGCAACTGTATCTCCAGGCAGGAGCGGTCCTGTGTGCTTGAGCAGACGGAGTCGGGAGCTCTTCGTATTCCCCAGTACTTGAGTTTCCCCGTTAGCTTTCTGGCCCTACGCTCTCCCCTCCCCTCCCCTCCTCTCCCCATGAGGGTGGGCAGCCCACACCAGCTCAGCTAGATGACACCTGCTCCCCTAAAAGGTGGAGGCCCCTCTCCTCCCCTGAGCTTCACAGGGCTCCCCCTCCTTCCTCACCTTCAGAAAGAGGGTCCCAAGGATGCTGAAGAGCAGACGCATCCACCAGGCATAATCGCGCATAATTTCCGTCTTGACGACGCCTGGGTGCACAGCATTGACAGAAACCCCTGCATGAGAAAGCGGAGAGCTGTCATTCGCGGCAAGGCAGCAGCAGCCGGGGCATGGGGGGGCGGCGGGGGGGAGAGAAGGAGAAGGAGGGCTTGTGGGGGGGGGGGGGTTGGCTTGGTTTTTGTGGCCAAA